AAACTTCCGACCAATTTACTGGGATAGTTCTCATACAGCAATTTAAAATCGTCAATAACTTCTCACTGACTTAATCAATAAATTTCATCAAAAAGAAGTAATTCTACGAGTCAGGTAAGTCGGGTGAGGTGGGGGAGCAAACATTTTCTGGTCAGGCCGAGAGACCAGAAATACAAGAATCAAACAGAGACACTCAAACAGAAACTTATAGATATCTTCAATGTAGAATCAAACTTACTACCGACGAGTGACAAGATTTTGGGAAGGTGAATTTAACCTAATCGAGCTCCCTTTGAACCTTTATGCCCATGGAATTAGCAGTGCCAATAATGGACTTGGAGATGGACTCGAGGGACATGTACTGGCAGTAGGGATCGCTCTGCTTAATCTTCGCGATCTCGTAAACATGCTTGAGGGTGATGGTGGAGGCCGTCACGTGACCAGGCCTGCTGCTCCCGCTCTCAATTCCTGCCGCCTTCTTAAGGTACCAGGTCACGGACGGCGACTTGACGGTGAATTCGAAGGTGTTGTCAGTGAATGCAGTTAAGGTGACAGCCATCGGGGTCTCGGGCTTGTATTTTTGGGTCCGGGCGTTGAAGTCCTTGCAGAAAGCCATCAAATTTAGCCGGTACGAACCCAGAGCAGGACCCACTGGAGGCGCCGGCTTGGCTCCACCGGCGGGGACGGTGAGCCGGATGGTCGCCGCCACAGGGCGTCGAGTCAGGATCTCTTTGAGCGTCGCCATATTCAGTTCTGGGGGAGAAAGGGATTCTTGGCCAACCGGCCGGGCATTGTTATACGACAAACATTGCCAAATGAAACATCTATTGTTGATACGAAATGAATCTAGAAGGCAAGAAATGCAGCAAAGCTCTTTGAAAATCGGGTATTAAACGGTTAGAAAGCAAACAACAAACTAAACAACAATTATCTTGTATCTACATGAAAGCTTCAAGCAAAATGAAAATGTCAATCAAACATACATAACTCAATCCCACAGCAAATTATACATACAGAATTCCAAACCCAAATAAAGTAATAATATTTACTGAAGAACCATGAGCAGAAACTAAATACTTCCCCAAAAGGGAATAATCAAAAGAGCTCAAGGCTCCACAATTCAGACCACAAACAAAGAACAATCTTCCCTTAAATAAAATCGAAAATAGCTATTAATAGAAAGGCCCTTTTGAGTCCTAACCTCTGCGCATTCGAAATGCAATATAGAACAGGGAGATGCTTCGGTCCCGTTACATAACCATTCCGTCGGGATTTATAACTGTTAAATCAACTATCACAATGGTTACATGATGATCTAACGGTTAAACACCCCGACGGAATGTTTCCATAAGGGGACCGTAGCATTTCCCTATACAACAACTACCACTCCATGAAAACATGAGCAGAGCTGCAGAAGTGCTAATTTTCAAAATGGGCTGCAGCTAAAAAAAGTCTCGAAATTTGGGAAGAAAAACAAAATCGAACAGTTAATTCTTCCCCTCGAAGCTCAGTGTCAGACAAATCCGACCAATAAACAGCGAAATCAGGAAAAGGAGAGATTCTTACCGGCGCGGAGGAAGGCGCGGTGGTAGGAACCGGCGCAGAGGAGGGCGCGGTGGTAAGAACCGGCGCGGAGGAGGGCGCGGTGGTGGGAACCGTCGCCAAGGGAACCCTCGCAAATTTTCTTTTCTAATGAACTTGTAATCTGAAATTAAAAAGGCACTACCCCCAGTGTTTTAATAATGTGTCGCGCTTTGGTCTTTATACTCCGTATTGTAAATAACGTTGCGTGTTGCGTAAGTTATTTGGATATAATTTTATATATATATATATATATATATATATATTTAGAAATATTAACTCGATGGTTGATTACAAAAATTATCATTATATTTGAATGACTCAAAAGATAACATATAAAGATTATTTCTCACAAATGTTTAATGTAAATATCATCATAATATAAATATTTAAATAATAAATCGAATATACTAAAAAGTAAAAATAAACAACGAAAATATATGAGGTACGTCATAGCATAAATTTTAAGTATATACATTTTATTTCTTATTTAAATTAATTTTATTTAACTACAACTTAATTTTAACCATTAGATATAAACTTTTTATTCTTTTTTAAATGTCAAATATTGAGAAATAAAATGATATAACAAAAATGGACTGATAAATATTGCACTATTCAACTTAAGACTTTGCATTTTCAAACTTTTAATTTGAAATCACTATCAAAATTTTAATTTTTAGTTGTCATTTGTAAATATGATTTGATCCCTTAAAAATACGAGTTTTTGGATATTTTATTGTTCAAATGTCGTTGCAAAAATATAGCGTAATGTAGCGCACAATAACGTGAAATAACGTAAGAAAGCGTGTCATTTCAACATTTCGTGTAAGCTTTTCGGGAAAAACGCTAAATATAAAAGGTTACGTCGCGTTTTTCCGAAAAAAAACTATATAGCGAGCTATTTAAAACAATGACTACCCCTAATACAGGAGTATATAATAAAACCAATAATAAATTAAAATGAATTTTATATATTGTAAATATATGTTTAATTATGTTTACTAAGCATTATAAGTTAAAGAAATAATATAATGAATGAATATTCAAACATTATTATCGAATATTTTAGTATTACATATTTGTATACTAAAATTTCCAAATTTGAATCCCCTCTATATATAATTTCCGAATGCGCTAAGCCTACGTGGCTACTTTTGGTGCTTCGGAATCCTACTTGACAAAGAATCATGATTCGTAATTAGGTTTGGACAAGTAATATTGATATATTAACACTACAAGAAAATGATGTAATTCCAACGGAAATTTATTATAATAGAATGATTCCAACGGCAATTCCAACGGATATTTCATCACTATTATTTTCGTTGGAATTTTTCAATGGATTCCAACGGAAATTCCAACAGAAATATTCCGTTGGAATGAGTTTTCCATTGGAATTTCCGTTGGATTTTGACGATTCCAACGGTGGATTTTCCAACAGGGGTGGAAATAAAAATTCCAACGGAAATTGCATATTCCAACGGAAATTCCTACGGTAAAAAGCCGTTGGAAATATAGCCGTTGGAATCACCAAATTCCATCTAAAATTCCAATGAAAAATACATTCCAACGGAACGTTTCCGTTGGAATTTCCGCTGGAACCATTCCAACGGAAGCTATAACATTGGAATATCCGTTGGAATTTCCATTGAAATATATTACCATAGGATTTTCCGTTGGAATATAACATTTTTTTTGTAGTGTAATAATTAATAATTTAGTTTCAGACATTCCATAAATATTATTTAGCTAACTTAGGTATTTTAATATCACTTGTACTAATATAACATTTTAATTCTTTATAATTTTACATAGTGAGACACTAAGTGACTAATATATCCCTGACTTTTGATTTGTTTCCTAGCTATTGAATTATATATGTATGTATTTTAAAAATTGATAACTTTTGTTTTTCTTATCGGTTATATATATATAATATATCAAATTAATTATCTTTCCATGATTTTCGATTTGACATCCATATTATATATATAAAATAAATAAATTATATTTATCTTTATAATGATAAAAAATAATAATATTTATTAAAATTTATTAGAAAATAAAATTATTTCTCAGTTGATATATTTATATTTAATGCAGTTATATGTTGTAAGTTAAAAATTATTATAATATAACACAAGTAAGCCACACAAATAAAAAGTGTCATACTAAATATATAATAATATGTATATTTTTATAAAAGGTATTTATATTTTCAACTACATTTTTCATTAATTTTAAATTTTAAGGAAAAAATTAGCAAGTACCTGTGTAATATACGGGCGTTGTACTAGTTTTCATTATATAAAAAAAATAAATTGCTTCATTTGAAACCCCATACAAAAGTGAAATTTCGTTTTAATATGATGATATACCTCTATTTATTTGTTTGTTTTCAAAAGAAAAAAAAAAACCCGAATTACTGCCATTTTAACGTCTCCCCTGTATATAATTGCGAGCTTAAGTGACAGTCTCACATGTTTCGGAATCCTATTTGGCGAAAAACATGCTTCATAGTTTGGTTTTGATAAAAAATAATATTATTCTAAATCAATAATTTTATGTTCGGACATTCCAAAAATATTAAAAAAACTAACTTGGTAATTTTATAATAGTTTGACTAATATAACCCTTAAGTTAGAACCTTTGGTAATGGAATTGATTGACTAATATAACCTTGATTTGCCTTGGAAGCTCTAAATCGGCTTATTAATTTCTATGAAAACCTCAAATTAGCCGAATAAATACATATATTTAATTTTAAACAATTATTGTTATTATTATTTAATTTTACAAATAATTTTCTTAACAAATACTACACGACTATTGTACTAGTAAATATTGAATACACAAAAAAGGCAAGTAATTATTTTTTTCTTGGAATATTCATACATGGATGGTTCCTAATATAGAACTAAATGCTAACAAATTTGTGTCTTTTTATTACACACACATTGTCTTCTGTGATTGGATCAAACTTCTTGCACTATCGCCGCCATTGAAGACCAAAAAATTTGAGGTTTTTCATTATCAGCTCTCCTAATTTTGTCTTGATTTCATAGTATGATGTTATTTTGTGCCCGCACGTCAGATATGTTTTTCTACTGTATTTTTCTGTCTTAATTTTTATTCTTTTTTTGCTTTATTTTTTTCAATCAACATTTGGGTTTTGATTACTCTGTACAAAAAATAAATAAATAAATAAATAAATAAATAAAAAAAATCATGTTAGTTGTGTATGAAGAAGATTAATTATATAACCCACACTATCAATGCAATAACAAATTCAATGATACTGTCTGTGCATGATTGGTTCACTGATTATTGTTTCCTTTCTGCAGATAATTCTCGCCATAAATCAAGAGAAGATAATCGATTTTGGTCGTATCTTTGTTCGAACCGAAAAAACGGGCATGGGACGACAAGTCTTAGTCATTTTCGCCGTGTTCTTGGTATTCGGAGCTTTCTACAACCTTACTACTGTGTACCTTCACCACCGAAGAGTGGGGCCCTTAAAAGTCGAGCCCGTGACACCAATGCCGTTTCACGAGCGAAAAACGAGAATCGGGAAGTCGCTTTTCCACATTGCTGTTACAGGGGAAGACTCGACTTACAGCAAATGGCAATGCCGTATTATGTACTATTGGTTTAAGAAGAAAAAGGATTTGCCGGGATCTGAAATGGGTGGGCTCACTCGAATTCTTCACTCGGGAGTTTCGGATGATTTGATGAACGAGATTCCTACTTTCGTAGTCGATCCTCTTCCTGAAGGTATGGATAAGGTGAGATTTGGATTTAGTTTTCTATATCATTTGTATAGGTTGTCTACTGTTGAATTTGTATCCTTGATTGATTGTTAAATACTAAATAGACTGTGTTGGAATATCACTTGTGAGTTATCCACGTTGGTTCTATAAGGAAAACGAGCCTATTTTATAAGCCTAGTGGGCTACTCCTCCCATCATTGGTTTTAGAAAGAAACCTTACAACGGCGCACCCTCTTATGGTGTGCGCTCACTTCCTCTTCCCCTGATTCCGATTTCTAATAGATTGAATGAAAATCGTTTGTCGATCTGAAGTATCTTAGCTGCAAGTATGTGATTTTCCTATCGACATTTGTTATCCCGATATAATTAGCGTTGCTTTTGTGAGTGATCTCGATTTATAATTAGAGTTGCTTTTGTGAGTGAAAGAATAATTCGAGAAGCTACATTCAGGGATATGTCGTCTTGAACAGACCATGGGCTTTCGTGCAGTGGCTGAAAAAAGCCGAAATTAAAGAAGAGTGAGTTCAATATGCTATCATCAGTGTGTGTGTTTTTTACGTCTCGAAAAAGGATTTTCCAAATTCTTGTTTATTTTTTCTTTACTTCTTCGTGTAGATATGTGTTAATGGCAGAACCCGATCACATATTTTTGAAACCGTTGCCAAATTTGGTGTACGAAAAATATCCTGCGGCTTACTCGTTTTTCTACATCAAACCGGTGAAGTACGCGAAAATCGTGAGGAAGTTTTTCCCCAAGAACATGGGCCCCATAGCAAATGTGGATCCTATTGGTAATTCTCCTGTTATAATCAAGAAGGTTGGTTTAAACTTTTAAACCAATAAAGTTGTTTTTCATGATTTAAAAGAGAATTTTACAACTAAGCAAATCTTTGGATCGTTCGAATACTCAGAGTCTGCTGGAAAAAATCGCGCCTACTTGGATGAATGTCTCGCTGGATATGAAAAACGACAAGGAGACTGACGAGAAGTTTGGTTGGGTGCTCGAAATGTACACTTACTTCTTTACAAAACATCCGCCTTTCTTTTCTGTTGACTAATGAGATGAGAGTTTTATGTAATTTGAATTTTGTGCTCGTCTAATAAAAGGTATGCGTATGCTGTGGCCTCTGCTCTTCACGGCGTGCAACATATTCTCCGAAAAGACTTCATGCTGCAGGTTTTATTTTCCAAACTATAGCTTAAGGATTGAATAAGGAAAAAATAATCGAATATAACAGTGACTTCAACCGAGCTTCTAACTCGAGCTGATAAACTATCAGCCTCCACTTGACAGGGAAACCGAAGGCAAATTCATTCTTCATTATACGTACGGTTGTGACTACAATTCCGAGGTAAAAAAATAAAAAAATGAAAGTAAACTTTTTTTCCCACTCCATCCAAGTGAAGCTAATCTTTGATGATATATGTCGACTATTTGGGGGCAATGTGTTAATAACTTGCACAGATTTTAAGCTTAAATATGTGATGAATTGATGACCATAGGGTGAACTGTTGATCGATGAAAAAGGCGAGTGGAGGTTTGATAAGAGAGATTACTTACACAGCCCACCACCTCGAAATCTAACTTGGCCCCCTCAAGGTGCTCCCGAAAGTGTGGTACGTGCATGAGGCTCGATTTTGTACACTATTTTTTGTTTTCTGCAAAATGTAATTTTGATCCTGGTTCGATTATTTCCATTTGCAGGCAACTCTCGTAAAGTTGATCAATGAAGCTACTGCAAACCTTCCTAATTGGGATTCATCAGAACATACATGATTTTTGGAAGTCATGAACTAAGTGTGATGAGGTTCAAGTGTACTCGTACGAATGATGGAGCTTGCGGAGGATTTTTTATTTTCCTTCTGAAATATGATAATCGGCCGCTAAATGAGTAGGCTCGGGCTTCATATTCTTTTTTAGTTGGTTTTTCTGGAGATCGACCGATCGATTTGTTTTCAGAGAATGGCATATTGTCCATTTGGAGAAGTGTATAACACATACCAAGTATTCACACTTAGTGTCATTATATGTGAAGTGATTTATGATTATAGAGCTAAAACAGTTCTAAGTTTACTTCTCCTGATTCCTGAATCTGTATTTCCTTTTTCTTTTTCAATTTGTGCAAGTTCCCACGTTCACAGTCCTCTTTCATCTTTAGCTAGCTTGAATTGGAGATGAGATTGCACTTGCCTTTTCGAAAAAACGAGTTCGTCGGCGTCATTAGTTTTTGATTTGTTTCCACTTTATTTATTATTATTCCCATATAGGAATAATAAAAATTGTGTGTGTTCCTAAAGAACACACACAATTCCCATACAACAAAAAAAGTTTGGCGTATTTGGAATCCATATTGGCGTATTTAATATTGCTGTTGGAATTTTTCGTTGGAAAAATTTGTGTTCACACTACAAAAGGATTTTTATATTATTTAGTTTGATAAGTGAATTTTATTTAATTTATTTTTTCTTTATTGGTAAATTAATTGACTTGATCAGTTCGAGAATAATACAGATATCTTAAAATATTGATCTCTTTTAATTTTTTATTTTGTTTATTTAATTTTCTTTATTTACGAATATAATAATATCTGAGTAAATAATTTTAAAATTGTCAACTCAAATTTACCTATCTGGCGACTTGATGAATCATTTCAATTGTTGAAAAATGGTAAGATAATACTGTTAATTTACGCAATCACATTATAATCACAGTATAACTTTAGAGGGATTAGTAGCATCATCAAAATCCTAGTAATTAATTTACATTATGCAATCACATGAAACTGCTCACCTGCCCACCGTGGGCAGTGCCCACTTTTTTGTCTTATATGAAAAACGTATTCTGAGAATACGTTTTTCAATTAAATTTAATTGAAAGATGTGGCATGATGCATAAGCAACTTAGTACAAAATACTTACCTTTACAAATAAATATAGGACAAATGTGATTTTATTTTCAAGAAGAAAATAAATAAAACAAGATAACCAGTAAGCAAAAATGATTGTTATGCATCTGGAACACAGAACCTTGTTTGACTAATATTCTGTCCTTAAATTCGTCATCAATCACATAACCTCCTAAAATAGTCTATTTTATTAACTGTTAAAATAAAATAGTTAATAATTGTTATGTTTTTTTTTTTACTGTGTTTTCATCTTCGAGCATGGGAGGCTGGGAACACGACGAAACAATTCAAGAGGCCGCAATTAGGGTAGTCTTTGAAGAAGCAGGCGTTCGAGGAAAGATTGTCGTTAGAATCTCATTATTCATTTACATTCATTTGACTTGTGCATTGTTCGTGTCCGAACAATCTAAGTCTAATTTATATAATCAGTCATTTCTAATTTTATTTTTCAAGAGTATTATTTGATTGATTAAGATGCTAAAGCCTCGGAGGATACAATTAGGACTTCATCGCATGACATGGTAAAATTAGGTAAAATTAGCTGATAAGTGATTTTCGAGCTTATAGCTTACTTATGACTTAAAGTTGAAAAAAGTTAGTTTATATGATAAAAAGTGTTTGGTAAAATTAACTGATAAGCTAGCTGAAATAAAAATTTCAACGAGCTTATTTGATTTCTAACTTAAAGATATGATTATGTACATATATAAGTTTTGGTTTTTTTAGAAACTTCTTTGGTTCTACTAGTTTAAGAGCAAAACCCATCAAGATGAATTCAACCCGGAAGGGTGTTCTGGAGCTGCAATGTTTGCCATGTCTGCGGAGGAAGAACTCGAGTCGTGGCCTGAGCAAAGCACACGAAACAGAAAATGGCTAACCGTAACAGAAGCAGCTGACAGCTATCGGTACCCGTGGACTAGAGCTCTTATCGAAGGCTTCGCCACGTGGCGTTATGAATCGACCGATACCGAGAGAAAGTGAGGCCAAGCTTGTAAGAAAAAACTTGTCCTGTCTGAACATAGTTTCATGTGGTTGGTTATAGATATGTTACCATTTGTCTATAGTCTCATTTAGTTTATTAACAAGATGTGAAGATGCTAATCTTGTTTGTAATTTAAAATAATCAAATTGTTGAGATAGTTCCAAAGAAAGCTGTCGCAGTTTTGTTGACTCTCGTGTTCCAAACAAAATTGGCTTTATGAAAAATCTCAGGCAGAAATGAAAAATCCTATGAGATTTCATGGCGTAACTGAGTATGAAAAAAATTCTTAATTTATTCTTATCAATTAAGATTTATGTAATTGAAATATGAAATGTTGTAAAATTTATTTTTAGAAACTTTGACCAAATAAATAAATAAGTTGACTTTCTATGTTTAGACTATTTAAAACAATGGATAAGAACCATAATAAAATCTAAAGATAAGGCTTTTCAAATTTTCAAAGATAAGGGTAAGAGCCATAATAATCGAACTTCAAAACAAATTAATTAAAAAATTGATATTTGAGTCAATCCAACAATTGATAGAAATTATAACAGAAAATCAAATATTTTAAGACCACATTAGAATTGCATTTATGAAAATTCCACACCAATTTTATCATAAAGTTTCCACATTAATTAAATTTCTAAACAAATAAATCAATAATTTATAATACAGTTCATGTACACTTATATTATCATAATTTAAACAAGACGTGTACATTACCTCGGTTATCATAATTGAAGCAAGTTTAAACAACATAATTAGTATAAGAGTCCTTAATATTTGACATTAAACAATATAATAATATAGTTTATCATGCTATAGTACTAACATAAATTGAGTTAATGAGGAAACACGTGTAATGGGCAAGTTAAAACACGTTATAAAATCTAAAACTCAATCAATTGATTAATTATCTCAATCATTTTAACGTATCTTATCATCAAATCACAATTATTCAAAAAACTTAAAATGACGTTTAATTATGACACATGTGTACTAATTGGTCATCTTTCTACACGGATAAAAAATCTTAACGACTTAACTAATTAATTATTTTTCAAATCATTTGGACTTATCTTATAATCAAAACACAATTTGTTCAAATTCTTATTTTAAATTAATCCAAACATAAATGTACGAATCACAATATATGTGATCGATTTGTTTAGAAACATTCATTTTCTGCAGGTAAAAAAAAAATAAAAAAAAAATAAAGAGACGACCGACACGACATAGAGAATTGGTCGGGGAAGGAGAGGAAAAAATGAAATGAAAACCCTGAAAATCCGGACTTATGGCCTGATGTTTGTTTAATTAGTGTTGATGTTATGGAACATAGTCCAATACTTGATATATTTTATGGAAAATGCTACAAGTATATAATAAATGTACATATAGGTGTACATAATACTCATATGGAATGGGGCCCACTTGATTTTTTTATTTTTGGTGGGTCTCACTCAATATGAGTGTTATTTACGCGCGTATGTACAATATTATGTACCTATAATATTTCTTTTATTTTATATCCAATTAAACAAATGTTATTGTAGTTGATTATTATTATTATTATTATTATTATTATTATTATTATTATTATTATTATTATTATTATTATTATTATTATTATTATAATTAGCAGGCATGTCTTTTCAATTTTATTATGGCTATATAAAAATTACATTCGAAAAAGCACATAAATTATAATTTTCTCGTGCATCGCACGAGAATTACTAGTATATATAAAAAAAAATCATTTCATTTTTTTCTCCACATTTCCACTAACATAATTATAATATTATCATATATCTTACAGTAAAAATATTTTTATCCACTCATTATCTAACTACTATCCACTTTAATGAATATTTTATATTGAATTAAAATTAAAATCCCTCCAAATAGTGATTATGGTTCCTCTCCAAAATTATGAGGATTTGGAGAAGAAGAAAAATGTAAATAGATAAAATTACATTTTTGCCTTTAATGTTTAGATTATTTAATAATAATCATTTATATCATTAAAGGAAAAAAAGTCGATTTAACATTATTTTTCCTTTTTTTTATATGTAACAAAACACCCTCCCGATGTAGGGAAGCGTGAATGAATGGGAAGGATAAAACGAGATACTCTCTCGATAAAACACAAAACTCAATTATCAGAAATCTTTTTCAAATTCAACCAACTGACTACGGTAGGGATGATATAAATATATAGAATCCTACTTGTCTTGCCTAACAAGCTAGGCTAGATATTTATTACTTATTAATCATAATAAAATAACTAAGGTAATAAAATAAAAGGAACAATAACAATAGGAAATAAATAATCTAAATACGAAGCCTATCATATTTATTTAGAAATGAAATCGCGGTCTCGTCTCCATCATCCTCCCCCGGTTGAGAAGGAATCGGCCGTGGAACCGATCTTGTCTCCATCAAAGTCAAAGGAATACAAAGGGGTCAAATGCGATACGTGAAAAACATCCGACGAAGGCACATGAGAAGGTAAGTGGAGACGGAAGGTATCCGGCGAGAGTCTATCGACGAGCTCGTAGGGGTCTATCCAACCATCCGGCATGGATTCAGCCCACACAAAATCTCCCACTTCAAAAACCAATGATCGATCATCCAACAACCCACAGAACTCCGCACATGGCCCGGAGCGAGAAAGGAATAATGTCGGTGACCTTCGTGACAAAGGGAACCCACGGGGAGCCAACGGGTGTAAAACAATGCAGACGCTCTCATGTAAAAACTCATAGGTGTTAAGTCGGCCATCGTGAAGCACAGACCTATCAAACTACCAAGGACGACCCAATAAGAGATGCCAATCATCCATAGGCACTACATCACACCAAACCTCGTCCCTATAGGCGGAACCGACAGAAAAAGACACCAACACGCGACTATCGACATGGACAACATTAGCCCGCTGAATCCACAGAAGAGAGTAAGGATGTGGATGTGGCTTAGTCAACAACCCAAGCTTTGCTACCGCTTTCTTGGAGATAACATTGTCGCTGGCACCCGAATCAATCACAAAATGACACACCCGACCACCAATGCTGCACATGGACTCAAACAACTGATGTCGTAAGCTCTCTTTCTCGGGAGATAAGTGGGGCGACAAAAGAGAGCGACGAAGGACCAATGCAGTACCAACAGCCCCCGAAACATGAACCACGGGCACCTCCGGCTCTTTATCGAAAATAAGAGGGCCATCATACTCGCCCGACTCGGGCTCCTCAATCAACAAAGCCCGCGACCCTTTCGCCTTGGTGCATTGCGCTTGCGATGTCCCGGTTCGCCGCAAGCGAAGTAGCGAAGCCTGCCCCCAATCGAGAGGCCAACTTCAAGCCCTTCCGAAGCCATGCCGATACCCAGTGGAAGAGTCGGCAGAGTCTGTGCCGGTGCCACAGCCCCATGCACCCCTTTCGTAGAGGGCCCGAAAGACGAGCCGGCCTTTCGAGCTAGCTGTTGTTCGATCATCAAAGCCCGTTGATGTGCATCAGAAACTGTGTCGGGAATAAACATATTAAGTGTATCTTGGATAGCAACACGTAAGCCACCCACATATCTCGACACCAATTGGTCCGTCGTCTCCCGAACCTCCACGCGAGTCAAAAGGCGATAAAATTCCTCCATATATTCATCAACGGAACGTGCCCCTTGTCGTAAATTCTGAAATTGCTGATAAACTGAACGAGCATAATTAAAAGGCAAAAATTCACGTTCTAAGTGCTTACGAAAATTTAATCCAAGTCGTGATTTTCGGCTTGCCCTGACGATGCCGCGATCTCTTGAGCTGCAACCACCAAGCCGCCGCACGCCCGCGAAGCCTTGTAGCAACCAGCGCGACTCGCCGATCATCTGGGACAACCTTATACTCGAGCACGGACTCGACCGAAGCCCACAATCCAGAAAATCTGCAACATCAAGCCCACCCGAAAACTCAGGAATCTCGACCCGAAAACCTTGCTCCCAGCGGGAGTCGCCACCGGCCTCCATCCCACAATAAAATGATCCCGCTGCAGTCCATAGTACGCGTCTCCTCGGCGAAAATCTCGCTGCTGTGGGTCGTTCGCCGGAAAGTCCCAGCCACGCCGCTGCTGTCCGCCGACGTCGAAGGACTGCCCGTCGCCGTCCAGGTCCCAGTCGCGACTTCGTTGACCGCCACCGTCAAGGAACCAGTCGCGGCGCAACTGGTCATCTGCACGGGCGCGACTTGCTGATCGTCGCCGAGGACTACGTCGGCACG